TTCATCCGGACGGACAGACGGACATGGCTAGACCGACTCGGCTAGTGCTCCTGATCAAGAACATATATACTTTATGGGGTCGGAAACGGATCCTTCTGCCTGTTACATACTTTCCGACGAATCTAGTATACCCTTTTACTCTACGAGTAACGGGTATAAAAACACCTAATAATCTATTCAGACTGAATTCTTATGGTGTCACTGTTGGCCCACAATAGTTTCTATTATATTTTCACTTTATAGAACTCTTATTCTTGACACATAAGCTAATATCAATAAAGAAATTTTTAGCCAAGGAAAACATTTTACATGCTAGCGATGAAATTGTTTTGCGCTGTAGCCCACTTTAATTTAAAACAAGGAAGAACGCTATAGTCGAGTACCTCGACTATCAGATACCCGTTACTCAAAGGGAAATGGAGATATGCAAGCAGCAAAGCGAGATTAAAATGCGCCACCTACCGGCGGTAGACAGATTTAAGCGTTATGGGCGTTAGAGTGGGCGTGGCAAATTTATTTTTGGATCAATCGATAGGTATTGACGACACCAATACATTTCAGTTAAAATTTTTTATCTAGCATGCAAATTGCGGGCGTCACAGGTTTTCGCGGTTTGTGGGCGTTTAAGTGGGCGTGGCAACTTTTTTATCTAGCATGCAAATTGCGGGCGTCACAGGTTTTCGCGGTTTGTGGGCGTTTAAGTGGGCGTGGCAACTTTTTTTTTTCAGTTAAAATTTTCTATCTAGCATTAAAACTGTAAAACTATAAAACTGTAGGAGTTACAGTTTTGGGCAGTTTGTGGGCGTTAGAGTGGGCGTGGCAGTCTACTGAAACAAACTTGCGCTGCTTAAGAAGCTCAGGAATCTGTACGCCAAATCTCAATAGCCTAGCTCTCATAGTTTCCGAGATCTCAGCGTTCATCCGGACAGACAGACGGACAGACGGACATGGCTAGATCGACTCGGCTAGTGATCCTGATCAAGAATATATATACTTTATGGGGTCGGAAACGCTTCCTTCTGCCTGTTACATACTTTCCGACGAATCTAGTATACCCTTTTACTCTACGAGTAATGGGTATAAAAAAAAAATCCGCTTTGAAAAAAAAATAAGTAGCTTTGTTCAGAGGCTAGTTCAAATTTGAGCAATTGGGGGAACAACCCAAAATTCTTAGCGTTGAATTTTCAAACAAATGTGACCAGTTTTCCAGATTTCTTAAAAAAAATTCTAATACTTTATATATTTATTACATTATTTTTCGTTATAAGTGTAGGCCTTAAAATATTAATTAGATAACAAGGACCAAAATTACACTTATTTTTATTGATTTTAAAGTAGGTCATGCTTACTGATGAAACTAAAATGTTAGATTTGCCGTGGCTCTTAAATGAAATAAGCAATCAGCAAATTAACAGCCTCGAGTTTGTTATAATTGCAAAAAGATAACCAGGAGTCTCCATGCAGCTAGAGAATTCGATGTCTCCGGGATTTACTACCTAAAAACCAGCTACCTTTGCCAGGATATGGATCGAAATCTGGTTGAGTATGGCCTTCGCCTATGAGCAAAAAAGGCTCTGGATGTCGGGCATCAATGCCACAAGGCCAAAAATATCTACTTGGGTCAAGGATATCAGGTCCCGTTGAAGTGACTCAATAGCCTGGCAGCGTGGAGCATATGAATCGGTACGAACCAAGATTTTTTGCAGTTTTTTATTAAAATAATAAAAGTATCTGGAAAAAAATGTAATTAATAATCGTTTGTTAGTAACGCTTTTTATACACTCAATCTCGCCTCTTGAGGACATCCCATTCTGGTTTTGGAAGGGCTAGGATTTGTTTGATTTCCTCTTTAGTAATCAATGCCAATTTGAACATTACAAATCCTGTGGGGCCAAGTGTGCAACTGCTCAGGACAGCTCCAAATGCTTCTAGGAGTGCGTTGGCGAATCATACAATATATAATTAATGAAGAATTTACTACACGCAACAAACTTGAATTATTAGAATTGACCAAAAATATAAACAAATAATTACTACATTAAAAGCAGTTTTTTTCTAGAAGTTATATAAATATTTACTAGTACTCCGGAAAAAAAAAATTGTTTCCAATTTAGGAAATTGGAAGCGCCTTCAAATGGGTTCTTTGAATAAATAATGAATCTTGCCAGGTCTTGCCTATTCCATAAAACTAGCCAAGTAGCTAAAAAAATTGTATTAGTACAAACCAAATTCTGTTGGCCAGAACATACTTTTTTTGGTAGGAGACGTCCGGCAGGAGCAAAGCCTTTGTCCTATTTGTTTGACATAAATTAATAACTCCTGAACTATGCAAGGTACTTTGATCATTTTTTCTAGTGGTAGGCACACCCTTAGATTTAATTTAGAAAGGTGGTCGTGCACAAAGACACCGTCCGTCCATATGAACGCTAAAATTTTGGAAACTATTAAAGCTAAAAAGTTGGAATTAAGCACGCCCACTCTAACGCCCACAGACGCACATAACGCTAAGAACCTGTCTAACGCCCACATTTGTCTGCCTCGCATGTACTAGAGCATTGAATTTCGCAATTCCCTTATAAAAATAACACAGCGTTACTTAAAATTTGTTCCACGACATGAGGCCGGGGTATTCCATATAATTATGGGATTTTTTTATAGTTCGAGACTCATGGTAATACACAGAGAAAACTAGGATCCCATTATACATGGAAGAGAGCTTATTTTAGATTGCAATGTAGATGGGCTGCCCCTTGTATTTGGCCAACTTTAGGATTCTTCGAAAACCTTAAACATGCTGATTTTTTATAATCGGGACTTCTAAACCATCAATCTTCACTACTATTAACCTGTTATCCTCAAGAAGTATGTGACAAAGATATACGAGTCAAAAGTAATGCATTTACTTGTAATGACCCAAGTCGGTACATTAAGTATTAACTCTGATTTTAGGATTCGGGTTTGCCTGAACCATAACTTGTCGTTTTAAAAAAAAAACTCCATTAGGTATAGAAGAGTTTAATATTGATATGCGTGCTAGGTTTTCCTTGACCCAATGCACTTCTTAAATTTAGGAGTTTGCCAAAAAGATGCTGATTTCTTATCGAAGGAAAATCGATGGGGCTTAAGGGGAATCACCCATGTCTCGGCCTTAAAAATCGAAATATACCCGTTACTTGTAGAGTATAAGGGTAACAGGATTCATCGAAAAGTATGTATCAGGTACAGGGAAGCTTTTCAGGCCCTATAAACAACACATATTGATCAGGATCGCTTGCCGAATCGAACTAGCCATATCCATATGTCCGTCTGTCTGTGCTTCCGAATAAGCGCTGAGATCTCGGAAACTATTACTGTGTTTATGCGATGCAGAATTCGCGCTTTAATTTCGCGATTTCAGCCGATTCGTGTGTGCATAAACGCCATTTCGTGAATTCGGCAACACACGAAAGTTGACTATGAATTCAACCTGAAAGCGTGAAATGGTCACAATTAAACTCCGGTAACTCTATATAATTATCGGAGTTGCCAGATCGATATAAATACATAAATACACCTTACATGTAAACATTTTTTTATTTCACGCTTTTAAGAAATCATGAAACCCTTAGCATAAACATAGTATATAAAAACTAAAAGTTTAAATTTCCATTCAGATTCCTAAGAATATTGCGAGCGCAAGTTTATTCCACTCTAACATCCACAAACGCTTATGAGGCTAAAGCCTATCTAGTTTAATAATTTGAAAATGTGTAAATGGGATTATCTGATTATCAATACCCACCTACATTCCAAAATTGGTCCAAATCGCACCATTAATTTAAAAGTTATAAGCAAATAAAGTGTGCAATCTCGGATACAGCCGATTTGCTGCATGCATGTCTGCATCTCCCTAGCACACCCTTTAGCTGAGTAACGGGTATCTAATAGTCGAGGCCATCGGCTTTCGCGTTTCTTCTTGTTTTGTTGTTTTAGTTTATACGAAAAACTACATTAATCTACAGTAGATTAAAATGCTGATTTTCTATTTGAAGTCCGATCACCCTTTCGACCGGGTTCGGTGCTACCGCTGGCAAAATTTTCTTGAATTACTTTGAAGATTTTTTAACTTTAAATAATTTATAAATGTACTTTATTTTTATTTTATTTTCACTTTTGGGCGCTAGACACACTTTGGCGTTATGTTTGCTTCTGAACCTATGAGTATAAATATTCTTAATCAGGATCACCAGCCGAGTCGAACTAGCCATGTCTGTCCGTCCGTAGGAACGGAGAAATCTTGGAAGCTATAATGGCAACAAAGATGGGATTAAGCATTCAGATTCTAGAGATTCTTATTCCAGCAGAGTGCCGCTGCCACGCTAACGCCCAATTACCGCCCAAAACTACAGTATTAGTGATAGAATCAAAATTTTAACTGAAGTGTTTTGGTTTAGTCAATACCTATCGATTATCCCACATTTTTCACGCCCACTCTATCGCTCACTAGCCGCCTAAAAATGTGGCGCCCACAGTTTTGATGCTAGAACAACAATTTTAACAGAATTGCATTGGTTTTGTCAGCACATATCGATTGACGCTAAAATCTGTCTGGCGCCCACAGTTTTAAAGATTTTGTCAATGTGTCAATGGTATTTTCTTTTGGTTGTCAATAACTATCTACACTGTTCAAGTATATATGTATGTTGAGATCGCCGCTAGGTGGCTCTCTGCAATCTCGGAAACAGTCGCGTATCTTAATCTACTTTAAATTTAGCGGGTATATGCTATAGCGTTCTTCCTTGTTTTAAAATATAAGCGAACACTTGAAATAGGAACAGTGGGAAAGAAATAGAAAATAATTCAGCGGCCACACTACTTTGAACACCCCATACATTGTTAATACCTTTTTTCAATAACGATTATTGCATTACCAGCATACAGCCACACTTCATGTGCATGCATAAAAAAAATCTGATTTGTCAAATCAAAACTTCTGCATTGAATAGAATATCTGCTCGGACATGGATAATTTCGGCTTTGGAGGAGTCGAGCTCAGCAAAGGACAAATGTTCCAAGTGCTGATACGTCTTTCGGTAGCTTCGCTGATAACGTTTTATTCGGTGAAATGGATGATGAACCAGATGGACCCGACTAGTAAAAACAAGAAAAAAGCCAAAATCCTGGCTGAAGAGCAGTTGAAGAGGTTTCTATATCTTTTAAATAGAGAATAACGTTACCTATGGCACTAACCTGACTTCTTGTCTTGCAGGCTGGCCGAGAAAGATGGCTTCAAGCTGAATGCGCAGGAATTTAACGACTATGAGCTGATGATTGCGTCACATCTTGTTGTACCGGCCGATATAACAGTCAGTTGGTCAGATATAGCCGGACTAGATAGTGTCATTCAGGAGCTCCGGGAATCGGTGGTTCTGCCGGTCCAGCACAAAGATCTCTTCAAGCGCTCGAAGCTTTGGCAGGCGCCGAAAGGCGTGCTTCTGCACGGGCCTCCGGGTTGCGGGAAAACACTGATAGCGAAGGCGACGGCAAAGGAGGCGGGAATGCGCTTTATCAACTTGGACGTCGCCATTCTGACCGACAAGTGGTACGGGGAATCCCAGAAATTGACATCGGCCGTGTTTTCACTGGCTGCAAAAATCGAACCATGCATTATATTCATTGACGAAATTGATTCCTTCCTGCGATCCCGCAACTTGAACGACCACGAGGCCACCGCCATGATGAAGACCCAGTTTATGATGCTGTGGGATGGTCTCAGCACAAACTCCAACTCGACGGTGATTGTAATGGGCGCCACAAACAGACCTCAGGACCTGGACAAGGCCATTGTCCGCCGGATGCCAGCTCAGTTCCACATTGGCCTTCCTACCGAGACTCAGCGAAACGACATCCTTAAACTGATATTGCAGTCGGAGGAAATAAACCAAGATGTCGACCTGAATCGGTTGGCCAAGCTTACAAATGGCTTCTCCGGCTCTGACCTTCGGGAAATGTGCCGGAATGCATCAGTTTACAGGATGAGGCAGCTCATCACGTCTAGTGACCCATCGGGTGCAGCTCTCGATCGAAATAACGTCAGCATCAATATGGATGATTTGCTAGGCTCACACTTAAAAATTAAGGAGTCCAAGATGCACACGGGAAGTCTATTTTTAGAGAATAGAATCGAGTTAGACTAAGTTCCATTGTTGTTTAATTCATTTTTTCAATATATCAAAAAACTTAAATAGATCTTATAAGCTTGTTTATTTGTCTTTCAAGAGGATCTCTAAGGAGATGTGCTTACCATTATGGTAAAGGTTGTTGGTGTATCGAAAAGGTTTTCCGCCTATAACTTAACCCTGTTCTATTATCAAAACATGGGCATCCGGAAAATGCAATCTATGTACACTTGAAATCTGCAATAGATACTGCAGGAAATTACACAATTCATAGCATTTCCGTAACTGGGAGCTCAATGCACTTTAATTACTACATATACGAGCTTCTTTGAAATATTCACCTAGAGAAATTTCAAACATTTATAAAAATATTGCTCTTGTACACTCGTACAGATACATATTAAACCTGCGTCACGCGACCGCGGGCTCTCAATCGTAAAAAATAAAGGTAAACTTTTGCAGTGCTATCCACTTTTTATATGCAAGTTAAACCTCTGAAGATGTTTGCCATCGCCAAACCTAGCATTATTTTATTATTAGCATACAAAAACTTCTTATATCTAAATGGATTTTTGACTTTAAATGAAACAGCTCGAATGAAAAAACTTAGAACTACACAATTACTTAAAAATTTACAAAAATATAGGGCATTTAATAGTCGGTTCAAGAAATAAAATTTAATACATTTTTAATTATGTTTCATGTTCATATAAATAGTTTCTTGGAATGGCGAAAAAATCATTACTGTTAAAGGCGTTGAACAAACCACATCAACAAACCCAAGCGAGACCATACCAAATACATTTATAAGAATGAATCCTATGGTAAGTTACACTCCACATTTGTTTTTCAAAAACCTCTAGTAATCATAAATTCAAACCTACTGATTTAATAAAATACGATTTTTCAATTTTAGATAACTTTCTTTCCTGGATATTTATTTATACCATTAATCATTTTTGGAAGTTCGGCGCACAGTGACTCCTATGCTGTGAATAAAAGCAGAAATGTTGAAAGCAACGAATGGAGCTATCCCGATTTTGGAAAAGAATCTATTCATAATACCGGAAACCGACCGGACAAACTGGCGATACAACATTATAACCGAGAGGCTGATCGAAACGTGACATTAAAACGCGGTGTGAGAAATTATCAAAAACCATCCGAAAAAATAACGAGACATAAAAACAAATACAGGCCGTCAAGTGCTTTAAGGAAAAATGTCAGTCCCCATTACACGGATGACAGTTCGGAAAATAAGCATTACCATACTTTTGAAGAAATTCATGAACACATAGATGAAGATGATGGACAGTACCAAGCATCTGAGCAAATAGGAACGCAATCCATCCTAAGTGAACACGTGGAAGAACACTCAAGTAAGAAGGATAACAAGCGGATGAAAGTCAAGATCAAGCATCATCATCACCACCATCATCATAACCACATAAAGGAAATGATAAAAACCGTACCTCAACCCTATCCCGTGGAAAAAGTTGTGCATGTCCCCATTGAGAAAATTGTGGAGAAGATCGTGCACGTCCCCAAGCTTGTAAATGTTACGGTTGAGAAAATAATACACGTGCCAATTGAAAAAATTGTGGAGAAAGTGATACACATCCCCAAACCTGTCCAAGTTCCAAAACCTTATGTAGTCGAAAAAATCGTTGAGAAAATAGTGCATGTCCCAAAACCGTATCCCGTTCTTCGGACTGTGCCCTATCCAGTGGAAATCAAAGTCCCCCATAAAGTGCCAGTCCCCTACAAGGTGGAGGTTGAAAGGAAGGTTCCCGTTTACATTCGATCAAGCGAGCCATATAAATTCGAGCCATCACCTTTCGAAAACTATCCCCATGCTGAAGAGTTCAAATTCAGTGGGGAAATGAATCATCCGCCACCTAGAGAACATAGAGAACATGAGCCTTCTACGCTACCATCGTCGAATTACTATAATCGGATATACAAATCAAGGGAACTAGACCATCCTCCGCGGTTAGAAGATTATCAAAATTCAATTCCGCCGCAGTATAATCACGAATATGTAGCGAAAAGTAGTCCTGAGCCGCAGTATAACCACGAATATGTAACGAAAAGTAGCATTGAACCGCAGTTTAAACACGAATACATAACTAAAAGTAGTACTGAACCGCAGTTTAAGCACGAATACATAACCAAAGGTAATATTGAAGCAACTTCTTCTGGACGTGATTCGGTTTCTCTTAAGCTTGTGGGCCCCCCAACTCATTTCAATATAACTGGAAAAGATTTGGAGACCGCCAACTCAGCTCCAGAGTTTGTTAATAGCTCAAACGTAGACCTAAGTCCGCAGGAATCGGTTAACGCTTTTCGTGGACTCCCTTTCTCCTTTCCATTCCAATTTGTTCAGCTGCAGCCAATGCCCTTTCAAAACGCTATAAACATGGAACTGCCAGTTCCATCTACGGCAGCTGAGGGAGCTCAAAAGTAAAACAAAATCAGCAAACCGAACCTGCCAAAAAATAAATATACATTTTCCTCAACATTATTATAAATAACTTAAGTGAACTAAGTGATTTGAGAATTTGATGTACCCCAAAGCAGGTTTGAACTCTGAACCAAGCCTCCCCTACAATAGAATCAATTATAGAATGCATTAAATATTTTACTGAAATGTTTAAGATTTGGTATAAAACATTTGCAAATGCGAGTACCTTTTTTTTTTTATTTTAAATAATAAACATATTGGTAAACGAAACTACTGCACAAACCCAACTTGGTTTATTTATAAATGGTGGGCTCATTTATTCGACCGCACTGTTTTGTAGTTAAAAGTTATTACCATTCGTGATCAAGCATCGGCGAAGGTGATTATGATAAACAGTATAAACGGGTATGAAATGTACTTTGTTGCAAAGCTGATCAACTTGATAAACCTAAAACCTAATAAAATGTCTTGTAAAGATCCTCAAGCTGTACAATTTAAATTATTCAGTTGCTTTATTATCCATCAGATGTTAATGTTTAAAAATCAACATTGCTTGCCCGCAATTTAAATGCTTTAGTTTATTGTTTGTAGCAGTCAACAAAAATGTTTTGTTCCTCATTTACATCCTTTGCCACGGTGACCAAAGGATCCTTGTCCGTTTCAGACACCAAGATCTCACAAGCTCCTTTCAGGGATTCGCCAAGTTTAGGAGAGAAATCCTTAAGGAATCCCCTTTCCGAATTGCTGTGATTGCAGAGCAGCACGGTGGTGTTATTGTGGGTGAAGTCCAGCAGTTCGTGATGTGACATTTCGCCGGTGATGATGAGATCCGCTTTAGTGCCCTTGAGCAGGGATCCTCCGGAGCCGGCACAAATGCCCACAGATTGGATGATGGTCTTTGGCTGGTGGCTCACAGCCAAGGCAATGTGGATGCTGCTTTCGATGTGCTTCTGCAGGGATTCCACCAGATGGGAGATCTCCAAATTGGTTTCTATATATCTGCCAGATCCGGTGCCCGGTGGAGCTCCCAGCTCCGGTTCCAGGGGGCGGATACTGATGATCCTGTTCACTGCCTTCGATAGCCAATCGTTTACACCGCCGAGCGTTTTATCCCACGCCGTGTGGGGCGAATACAAAGCTATATCATTGGCCAAGCAGGATGCCACCACGCGCTCCTTCCAGTTCGACTGCGTAATCCTTGTCAGCGGCTTGAAAATCGGTGGATGATAGCTGATTATGAGCTCCACGTCCTTCGCCAGTGCCTCGCTCATCACGGGCTCGGTTAAATCATTGGTTAATAGAATTCTCTTGATTTGCTTCTCCCGGTGCGGTTCAATCAGGAGCCCTACGTTGTCCCACTTCTCAGCCCACGAAATCGGCGCAAAGCTCTCCAGCTCCTTGACCACTGTCGCCAGTTTTTGACCACTATAAGTGCTCATCCTTCTTAGCATGCCTTTTTGTCCTCTTGTTAATTAAATATTAAAAATATAAAAAACATTTAGAGTTGTGCAAATAATCGTATTGTGCTGCCAACTTAATTTCTGTTGCTGTTACGTCGTTGCTAACGTAACAGCTGTTACGTTTACGAACTGGCGCCATTGCGTTGTTTGCAATGCCCTTTTTTGAATGGCGACCCACTTGCAGAAACAATACATTTACGTTTTGTAAAGCTAAATGGTTTTGCTAAGTTCTTAGCTTTAGATCCATGACGATAAATATCTTGCATCTATTATAAGTAAATAATGATCGTATTCTAGTCCACTCTCGGAAGGCTATATTACATAACTGTCAAAGGACCAATCGGAAAATTAATAGGAAACAAGGGAGAACTCTATAGTCGAGTACCTCGACTATCAGATACCCGTTACTCAGCTAAAGGGACCAAAGGGAAATGCAGATATGCAAGCATCAAAGCGAGATTAAAATGCGTCACCTACCGGCGGGAGACAGATTTAAGCGTTATGGGCGTTAGAGTGGGCGTGGCAAACTTTCTATCAATCGATAGGTATTGACGAGACCAATACATTTCAGTTAGAATTTTTTATCTAGCATGAAAATTGTGGGCGTCACAGGTTTGGGCGGTTTGTGGGCGTTAAAGGGGGCGTGGTAAACTTTTTTTTATCAATCGATAGGTATTGATAAGAACAATACATTTCAGTTAAAATTTTTATTCTAGCATCAAAACTGTAGGAGCCACAGTTCTGGGCGGTTTGTGGGCGTTAGAGTGGGCGTGGCACTTTGCTGAAACAAACTTGCGCTGCGTAAGAAGCTCAGGAATCTGCACGCCAAATCTTAATAGCCTATCTCCTATAGTTTCCGAGATCTCAGCGTTCATCCGGACAGACAGACAGACGGACAGACGGGCATGGCTAGATCGACTCGGCTAGTGATCCTGATCAAGAATATATATACTTTATGGGGTCGGAAACGGTTCCTTCTGCCTGTTACATATTTTCCGACGAATCTAGTATACCCTTTTACTCTACCAGTAACGGGTATTAAAATATATGTATGATCATACTTTCTTACACTCTGGGATATAGAATTATTTTAAAAATCAAATTTTTGAATTTTTTATTGTAAGAATCGGACGACTATGTTAAATAGCTGTCGTAGGAACTATCGGTAAGTTGATATAGAAATCTTCGGTTTCCGTAATATACGTACGATTTTAAAGGCATGATATGGCTTAAGATTCAAGGATACACTCAAAAAATTATTTTTCTAAGTACAGGAAAAGTCGCCATAAAAATGATATCGCCCAAAGTTAATAAATATTTTCTTATTTCAAGAAAGGCTATTTATGAAAAAATCTACAAAGAAAATATTTTGGTCCAAGGATGGTGAGATGGTTCCGAGGACGCCTAGCTGGAACCGCATACTGGCCTAGAAAAATTGTATAAAACCGTGTTAGCCGTATGATTTAAATGTTAACAAATTAAACGTTAATTAAACGCAACAGTAAACCACATAAAGCATTAACATAATGGATGCGAAACTGAGGTGAAACTAAAGCAATTTGCGGAAACTCAAAAAGGACAAAAGCAAATTACAACATCAAGCAGGCAATATCAACTTACATTATTTGATGTCCAACTTTGGGAAAAAGGAGCTTGGAAACTAGACAAAAAATTGGAAGGAGAGACACAACATCGGTGGTCCGAAGTTGTAAATACCCTTGCCAGGCCTATTAAAAACTTTTGTCATCAATTTGTTTTCTTTTTGAAAAGATATAAAAGACCTAGGAAAATACATTGTATTTTACAATTAAATATTGTAAGCGGACAAATCTGTTTAATTTATTAATCTATTTAGAATTAAAAATTTGAATATTGTATATTTTATTGTATATTTTAGAAGGCAAGGGTATTTAACCTAATTTGTAAATTTTCTAAAAATATAAAAATTACATTTGATATCAACGGCTTTTCCCAAAAACTTTTATTCATCAAATTTCAATACATTAAGAGTGGGTAGAACCGATATTTTCAATTCAAACGTCCTATATGTATATATCAACTACTTTTTGACAACAGTTAAACAATTTCCAACAATTCTGAGACGGACAACGTCTTTATCCATTGGTCCACATGGTATTTAATCCTGTACTATATATGAATTTGTGTATTTTCACCAAAAATGTTCGCTATTCAAAATGACATTCGAGAAATGAGTATGTTTTGGCGTGAAGAATGTGTTTTGCTAGGAACTACATAGATGAAATACTTATATAATGTTTGGAGTTTCTTGGGGAGTCCTAAAACCACTTACAGAATACAAATCGAAACGTAGTTCAAATAATATTCGATAACAGCTATAATTTCACACGAAAAAAATGTCTGTTATTGTTTTTGTTCTTGTTTTTGTTTTTTATTCCTGGTCGCAACCGGGAAAAAGCGACCGGGAATTAAAAAAAAAATGTATGGCAACGCTACGCTGCTTTTGGAATTTGGGCAATGAAAATATATGTATGGCAACGCTTGTTGCTGTTACAGCAACAACGACGAAAACAATATTCAAAACGAAATAGGAAACATGAACTTCACAAACATCAATTTGTACAAAAACGGAAACAATGCCATGAAAGCGGCATTTGGTTATGCTGCTGGTCATCACGGGGACCTTAAGAAGGGCTCCCTGTTGATGACCAGCCAATTCAGCCAACTTTTGAATAACCCGCGCCCGTTTTTCATTATCTTCGACGAGATTCACATGAAGAAAATTCCAAATTGGCGGTTTGAGTCATGGAAGGCTATGGTGGTGGCCATTGCCACCTTCGACGGTCAATTTCTGAAGATCGTCCACATCCAAATGGTAAGTTTAAATTTATGTAAATGTTTATTTTAGTCTTAGCTTTTGCATTTAGACGGCCGCGCGCGCGCTGTTCTGTTAGAGATGCCATCGGATATCGTATATCGTAGATATATCGGCACCGTGGCAGTGCAGTGAAATCTACTGCCAAATGTAAACAAATTTGAAAAAAAGGCGGTATTTTTTTTTAATGCTATTTTTAATGCTATTTATTATTTTCATATTTTATATATATACATTATATTATAATATTTTCATTCATTATATATATATGTTATATATTATTATTCATTATTCTTATTTATGATTTCTATTTTTTCACAGATGTCTACAGAGATTGCAAAGCTGGGGAAGGTGGCGATAAAGGACGGAGTGAGGGAAGTATTTTACTTCGCGAAGCAAAACGGGCGAGATGGCAGCCAAAGCCACAACCTCCATCTCCAACCACACGGCGCTCGCGCACTACAAGCACGAGTTCGGGAGGATGGAGTTCTTGCTGCGGAACATCTACCAGGTGGTGCCAGAGGAGGAGGAGGTGTCCCTCACCAGCTTCAATTCTGACCTCTTGGAGGACATCGGCCAGAAATGGGCTTTCTTGTTGGACGAGGCGGTCAAGGAAGCCCTGTCGGTGTTCCCGGAGGTCAGGGAGGATGAGGAGCAGGCCCTCCTCCTCGTCGGGATTTTGGTGACGGTGATTGCGATCACCAAGGAGCCATTAAATATTTAAAAAAAAAAAAAAATAAATAAATAAATGAAATTTAAAATAATTCAAACACTTTAGTCGTATTTTTAATTTTACATAATTTTATAAAATTTTATTTACAGGGGTTTATTTTTAATTTTAATTTATCTTAGGAAATTTACTTTAAAATCTTTATTTTTAAAATAATAAAAAAATATTGATAAAAGCTTTAAGGCTTTTGATTATTATTATCGATAAAATGTTAAGTTTATAACAGGAGGGAACGGGGCCAGCATACAATTTAGAGCGAGACGACTATGTAAAGCATAGAACAGCGGTAAACTGTTTTTTTAAAAACATTCGGGGAATAATTCGAAGTGCAACAGAACAGAACGACAGCAACTGGACCCAAAAAAATAAAGAAGAATTAAAAAAGAATGGACAACGAAATCACCGCAGGTAAGTGAAAAGTGTTATAAAAGTGTATAGCTTTGCCGACCCGACCAGTGTGCACTTCTTATGGCCGGGTCGCAAACATACATTCTCACGGCAGCCAAATGTTTTTTTTTTGCTATTTGACAGCACTTTTTTAGCTCTTTGCTTAGTGTTTACTAAGTATTTGCTTAGTTTGCATTTACACTAAGCAAAGAGCTACCAGCAACAAGTGCGGCGACCCCCCAGATGATGCCACCACCACCACCACCTGGGCAATGGTGGGGGGGTCCTGCGCCGCAGGGATATGTCGCGCCGGCACCACCTGGTCAGTGGTGGTATCAGCCGGCGCAGACATATGTGGCGCCACAGCCACAGTGGTATCCGTATCCTGCACAAGGATTTGGAGCACCACCGCCACTGTGGTACCCTGCGCAAGGGTGGCATCCTGCGCAGGGATACGTGGCGCCACAAGCGCAGGCGATGATGCCACAAGCGCAGGCGCCACCACAACAGCAGGCGATGATGCCACAAGCGCAGGCGCCACCACCTCCGCTACAAACTCCGCCACAGGAGGTGGTGTTGAAGGAGCAAACTCCACCACAGGAGGTGGTGTTGGAGGAGCAAACTCCACCACAGGAGGTGGTGTTGGAGGAGCAGCCGGAGGAGGCCCAGGCTGCCAATCCCCCGTTGGCCCCCCTAATTCTGTCGCCGCCGGGGCCATCAGCAGGGGGGCGTAGGCGTCCTGTCGCTCCTCAGGAGCGGCCAGGGCGCCCATATCCAGCACTGGGAACGCCCCGTCTTTCGTTGCCTCCCATTGCCGTCGAAGTCTCTAAGTGGCCACAGCTCCCCACGAAGGAGATCCAGACTCACTTCGATGGCAATGGAAGGCAATGGACGTCGGCGCCTTACCAGTGCTGGATGTGCTGGCAGAAATGCGGTTATCCGTTTAGAGCCAGGCGCCACTCCTGCTTGGCCTCGTCCTTAACGTATTCTTGCCCATATTGCCCCTTCAGTTCCACTTCGAAGAACCCTAGTGGGCACAGGGCAAAGTGCGAAGGGGACGGGGTCACGGCGTACGTGCCGGATGGCCCAAATGCCACTGGGCGGAGGTTAACAACGGGGTGATGCAGCCTGCTTCGAGGGAGTCGTCGATGTCCCCCCAGTCGCGGCAAATGACGGTTATCCTGGCAATGACCAATATTCATCTCCAGCAGATTAAAAAAAATTAAACGCAGATAATTTCCCTAAATGTACAAAAACTGTCTTCAATGAACGAAATCAAATCCAAAAATTAGCAGTACTTCAAGACAAAAATTTCTAGTTCCTTAGAGCAAACCCACAACCGAGCCGCATGCGGTCAAGAAACAAAATGATTCTCTTCTTGATGAATCCCGAAATCGACAAGGATCTATCGATTTTCTTGAACAACGGCTATCGATGTATGGCCAACGTTGCCATTATTTCAAATGGAATACTCACCTCTGAAAAGTGGCAGGCTCAGTGGCAGCCTCGAAGGGTGGCAACGTTGGCCACACATCGATAGCCGATATTCAGAAAAATCGATAGACCCTTGTCGTTTTCGGGATTCATCAACAAGACAATCATTTTGCTTTTATCACCGCGAGCGGGTCTAACAGCAAAAATTAAAAATTTAAAAAACAATATACCTTTCAGACTGATGTGCAAAGTACAACGCCCGAGCACATTAGGACGCTAAGCTACCAATTTTAGACTTGCTTGTTCGTTTTATTAGCCGAAATTTTGCGCCGGGACATGTCCTATTTTCACAGCGAAATTTTTAATAATCTAATCTAATATTTAGCTTCTATTATAATTAATTTATTCAATTATCTAAGACTTAAAATATTTTAAAACACTTCATAATAGTTCCCTGGCCTGGAAGCGCAATACTTTAAATACTTCTAGACGTGCTATCGGCATGAAACTTTCACCAAAAATCTATAAAAATATTATAAATATATTGTAAAAGAATTGACCGGATCGTACCACTATATCTTGTCGCTTCCATAGCGCAGTGGTCGGGCATGTATGGAGCATGTATGAAAAGCTCATATAAATTAAATAAAGTATAATATAAATTTAAATTATAAATTTGTATAACATAAACTCAAATGACAATCACAAAACAACACAAGAAAACGCACGAAGACGAAGACAGAGACAGAGATAGACGCCACAAAAAGCACAGTTACACAAACGAAAAAAATGCTCGAGAACGGCGAGACCACGTGGTTCTTTTCAAGCTTACGCAGCGGCTAGCAAAAACTAGCAGCTGAAATTTTCTCTAAATAATCTGTAAATATTCGTTTATATTTTATTATAAGTTTGATCATTAGCTTCGATTAACTTCACAACTAAAAGTCTTAGTGAAACTTTAACTTACAAACAAATTTTATACAAAAGTGGCCATTCTTCCGCTTCAGGAGCGGCGACGATGAGTCAGCACTATCTTTCGGAGAACATGACAGCTGGCGATGGGGCAGTGGACGAGACGGGCCGCGGCTAGTGGAAGCATTTACCTGGCTGTAGATCGTACCCCTCCCGGCGAAAGAATGGGTGCGACTTGTCCCGAAGAACGGTAACGAGGACCTGGGATCAGCTCCTTGCTCTACCTTCTCTTGCCCTGCTTCCCATGAGTCTCTGCCACATCGCAATTGACGGCGTTTTTAAAAACAAGCTTTTTTGAAAAAATACAAAAGTTTTGATATGTCCATTGGGCAGTGTGTTGGCTTTTCAATTCTTGTTTTTTTCTGCTTTGTACATAGGGCTGCACTAACCCACCCACGACTCCACGCTAAAAAATGATAAATAATTTGTTATATTTTCATTTTATTGCTATTAGCTACAAAAGTAGAAAACAACTTTTCATAAAGTTCCTTTTTTATAACAACGAAAAATATCACCCGGTAATGTAACACAAATGCATGCCAAATGGTACCCATATGTAAGAGAGCAGCTCGTGCAGACGATTGTTGTTGTCATTATTCTTAGTTAACATCAACCGGAAGATGGCTACTCAACCGACGCGTCGCTAAGCAGAGGGATGCAGGCGATGAATCCGGCGGACGAAGACGACGGCGACCTCAGCGGCAGCGAGGAAGCGGACGTCACAGTGGTGGACTGGGACAGGGAAGAACCATACACTTAGAGTTTACAAAAAGATGTTATCTATTGAGCTTTTTCACTTGGCAACCCAAAGTACTAACTCCTCACACGTGTACTACCATTTTTCTTAACAAGCTTTGGAGAATTCATGACACGCAGAAAATTCTTAAAACAAATAAAATTAGCAAAAACCCCAACAGGAAATGACAAAACAGAAAACCCCTAAAACGTGTCGAACGGTACAAAAAATTAAATCTGGTTCTCACCACTTCACATGTTTGATTAAAGTGTGCAAAGTGTGTATTCAAGAACTAAAATTTTATTGGTTGTGTTTTAAACAAACGAACGAAACGGCCTCAAAGTTTCTTTACAAATTATTCGTACGACCATGCAAACCAGACATAACTTTAAAAAAAAAAATAGATTTCCCCTCCACAACTTTGTCAACTCTCGTGTCTCAGTCAATATTGAGGACAAATGACGAAATCTTTTTGGAGGGAAAACTAAAGTCATAATGCATTACAGATGCATTTGTACGCATTCTTCTTCTGATGCAAATTTAGGCCATTTTGTGTTCTTTTTGTATTATAAAAAGTTTAAGTGCTAGAAGTGAATGAGTTACATCCAATTAAAGCTTAAAAACTTTGCTCACATGTGGTAGCAGACGTAGTCCAAGAAAGTAAGCAAAAACTCGGACATCTTGAACTGAAAAAGGAAATCTAATATCTTGAAAATTGTAGTAAAGCGGCCACAAGTGGAAATCAAATCACTGTAGTGATCCTGGCACCTCTATCATACATTGATCGTGAATAGAAAGGATATAAATATGCTCTTCTCCACACCACCGTGGAGGTAGAGCTGTAGGCGCGTTTTTTTATAGTCTGGGATACGACTGGGCCTAATCGACTTTGTAACATATTTACATTTAGAAAAAAATAAAATAAAAATGTTAGTTTCATTTCTAAACTAAAATACAATTGGTAGTATATGAAATATATATTTAACTATACTATAAATATTCCCTCCGTTTGCGTGCTCTGGTCTTTCCTAGTTGGTTCAGTTTCATCTTTGACTTCCTTGAATACGTCAACTCGAAATTCCAATGCCGCAAAGGACGCCCAGATCCGTGTGTAAAATTCCCCACTATGGGACTCGAGTTGATTTCTCGGTATTTTAAGGTCCTCCAAAGCTGATTTGTGGCCTCTTTCTCTGGCCTATAGACTCGAGGATATTGTTTTTCAAATATATAGAATAGGAATAAAACATCAGGCCCAGGCGAGACTTTAAAAAATCTAGGTGTCTATCTGAAGATTAGAAATTTCTGTTTTGAAAGTCTCTTTAAAAAAAGGTGGCGTTGTTCTCATTCATAAAAAAAAAAATTTTTAAAACGTCTGAAATTATTTTTGAGTAGTGGTTTCGTATACAAGTCTTCTAACAAGACCTCTGTAAACGAAACATTTGTAATTGCCTTTAAATGAATATAGTCCTAAAGTCTTGGGATTTGAGAATCTACCTTTTTAGCATTAACTGGTTTGTTGTCAGAAATAACCCCCATCAAGAGATGACTAACCTTTCTATCTTGTACCCTTTTACTCTACGAGTAAAGTGGTATAAATACACTTTTTTCTTAAAACAAATACAAAATTAAAGGCACCCCACACACAATACATGCATTTAAATAACTTACCTTCGGAAACCATAGCTCTTCGACCAGGCGGCTGAACATCAACATTACCATTACCATGGAACATCAACATTATCAGATTCTAGGAGCTCGTTAGCTTCATCCACGTCCATCACGTTCACGTTCTCGTCCCGCTTGCAAATTATAAACAAAAAAAAGCCATCGCCAGTGTTGGAAAGGATGATAGAAAATTACCGTTTATTTTGCTAAAATACCTATCGGAAATCGACTTTGAATTTGCAGAACAAGTGAACAATAGCATTTCCATTCTATTCTGCAAAAATAATGAATTCTTTTAAATATTTTATTTTTTCCATTGACTTTTGCGAAACAAGCGAATCAGTTGATGGTGAATCGCCAATGATAGGCTCGAAAAGTTAAACTCGATACCGATAAAAAAGAATAAAACCAGTGTGCAAAACTAATTTGAAATTTGCGAATTATTGAGCTGTTATTAGACGTTGTGCTCGAGATCATGGGATCGGGCGCGCTCTTTCAAAACACCTTCATTTTGGACATCTTGAAGTCCCTCATGGAATTGTCCGAGCCAGCCGGAGATGCAAATTCTGGCCATGTCCCGAAGCGGCGGAGGGAAGAAGAAGAGGTAGAGCCACTTATTGTACCCTTTCAGAGGGTATTATGATTTCAGTCAGAAGTTTGCAACGCAGTGAAGGAGACGTTTCCGACCCCATAAAGTATATATATTCCTGATCAGCGTCATATAACCTCCTACGCTTGGAAACAACATTTTTTAATTAGTTCTGAATTTCGAATATAATTTTATCAAAATCGGGCGACTACATCATATAGCTGCCATAGGACCGATCGGAAAATTGGTGGGAAAATAATATGAAAGAAATTATAGCTTCGGTGTTTTTTGACATATTATCTTATATTATTGGGAATATAACTTTTTGAATTTTTAAGAATTTTGAATTAAATTTAATTATAACTGCAAGGGTATACAAACTTCGGCTTGCCGAAGTTAACTTCCTTTCTTGTTATAGAGTATTTTTTTATATATATTTAATTTTACATAAATATTTGATTGCTTTGCAGCCCAAGACACCCGAAAAAAAGGACACCCGAGGCGGAAACTAAGTTTCGACGACGTGGGCTCCAAGAAGTCAGCAGCTCATCCGCACCACCTCTTTGAGGAGCTGGAGGTCAGTGGCTCCAGCCAGTCACCACCGCATCCTGAGCACTCATTCGAGGACCTGGAGGACAGTGGCTCCAACCAGTCACCACTCCATCCTGACCACTCATTCGAGGAGCTGGAAGCCAGTGGCTCCAACCAGTCACCACTCCATTCTGA